TCTCCATGATAGTGTGGCACAACTATGGAAGGACGGTCTCACACAGACGGACGACCATTGGTGAAAGACGGTCTCCAAGTGCCCATCCACAGCAGACAACTTTACATCATCCGCAAATGGGGATTTTCTTGCAGTTCCTTTTACCTCTAAATGCACTTTGCGCGCGCCGATCTCCTGCATGGACTCCGGTGAGGCCTTCTGCCATGTAGGCCATGTCCTTGTCTCTGTACTCAATTGAAAAAGGAATGAGCTGGGAGCCACTACAATTGGCCGGGAGTCGGCTGTGTTTCCTCCCACAACGGGGCACACACCCTCTTCTGTGTGCACTACTGAAGCAAAATACCAAAACAAAGACAACTCCCCTCATGCACACAGTTAGCCTGCACTTTGCGCTAAACTTGTGCTGGGCATCAAAAAAGGACCTTATAGTATGTGTCCCTATGATAAATTCGTCAAACAGTACTTGTCTCATATTCTATTTTGACAATCACCCTCAACTTACTGGGAAGTCTGTCTCGAACACTTTTGTACTGCGTTCCTCAAAACAAGCCCCCCCCCCCGACATACGCGCATGCACACACACACACGCACACACACACACACACACACACACGCACACGCACGCGCACGCGCACGCACATGCACATGCACACACGCACACGCACGCACACACACACACACACACACACACACACACACACACACACACACACACACACACACACACACATACACACAGACACATCCCTTTCGTGACACCTGTGTCTATAGCCTCGCTATGCTTGCTGAGACAGTTGCAAGGTTGTTGCTGGTGAGAGGCCCACCTTTCACCAGCTGCATGCCCTACAGTACTTTTAAAAGTGACAGACTACCCTGAGCTAACTAAAGTTTTAAAGCAAGCAGGCCTTCTTGTGTGGAGTTTGCATGTTCTCCCTGTGCCTGTGTGGGTTTTCTCCGGGTACTCCCGTTTCCTCCCACATTCCAAAAACATGCGTTGCAGGTCAATAGAACACTCTAAATTGTCTCAACTCAACTGTATTTATAGAGCACTTTAAAACAGCCATCACTGTATACAAAGTGCTGGACATGGAGCAACGATCATATATACAACAATAAAACAATAAATCAATAGCAAAGACGGTAGAAAGAACCAAACAGTAAAACTAAGATCAAGTCTGAGTCATGCTGAGTCAAATGTCAAAGAATACAAATGAGTTATGAGGCGGGTTTTAAAGATGGGCAGTGAGGGTGCTTGCTGAATGTTCAGTGGCAGGTCATTCCAAAGAGAGGGACCAGCATTGTCCCAAATTGTCCCTTGTTGTGACTGTCGGCACGACTGGTTGTGTGTCTATGCATGCCTTGCGATTGGCTAGCAACCAATTCAGGGTGTATCCCACCTACTGGCCGAAGACAGCTGGGATAGGCTTTAGCATGCCCGCGACCCATGTGAGGATGAGCGAATTAGAAAATGGATGGATGGATAATGGATGTATATGCATATGCATGAAGGTATTTTTTTAAATAATGTAAAACAATATCAGATGCAGAGGGAAATGTAGGGTGTACATTCAGAATGTCACTGCATCATCACTTGTCATTTCGAATGTGGCCTTAAAAGCACCCCTACTAAGGCCAAATTGAAAAAGCTAAAGACAAGGAAATAAGAACAAGATAATTATGAACACTTTTTTCAAATGCATTTTTGCAAATGCATGTCTCAGAATTTAAACTGATTTCCGAAGGCAGACTGTGTACTTATACGTGACAGCTGCTTCAATATGCAGGGAGGGTGGAATACATCTGCTTCTGTTTACCCCTATTAGTGAATGAACACAAATTATGTGGCCCAGGCACCAGCACAAACTTGCTGTTAACCTTTCACCAACCCTGAAAACTGTAATTAACGAGGTGAGCACCCGCATGGAGCAGGAAACGAAAACAAGGAAAAATATGTGCCGAAGTCGATTGTGAACAATTAACTAGACCTTACACCTTTTGCTTGTGGAATGAATCCCTTCAGATTGCTTCACTCCAAGCTGTACCTTGAGTGACGATAAGGCAATTCCCATAAAGGTAAAACTACGCAGATGTCCGCACCATCACACAGATGGGACTGATTGTACATGGCTCCAGGTGATATGCTATGGTGCAAAAAAAAAAAAAAAAAAAAAAAAATACATACATGAACAAATGTGCTATTATGAGGTTAGGGTGGGTGGTCTGTGTTTTGTTGTGTGGGTGCATTAGGAGGTGGGGGGGGGGTTACAACATACAGTATACTGTATAGCAACAACATATTCCATTCAGTACGAGGCAGTGATTCAACTGGACAAGCATGGAGGCTGTGCGAGATCAAAATGACAGGTATCGTGCAGGATGTGGGAGGTAGCATTTCTCGTCCTCATGAGGCGAGTGGATCTACAATTAGTACTTGTCCCACCTCTGACATTGACCTAAGATGTGGACTGCACCCTTGGGAGCAACTGCCCTGCAATATGAACATTCTGAGGCTGTCTTTGTGAATCAAGCCCTGTTTACTAGCAGTATAACAACGTCAGAGGCATCCAGGAGTTTTTTTTTTTTTTTTTTTGACAAAGCTCGTGAGCTTGTCTGCATCACGCTCTATTGAAAATGAGCTGAGTTCTCGCAAGATTGGCAAGAACATTTTCAACAAACTGGAGCATCTGGAGTGTCTGTTGTCGGATCACAGTGAATTCACTGCCAAGGTATCATGAACCTGCCTCGTGGTCACAACAAGAAATCAGAAAAAATCTTCACTGTTGAGGCGATGACTTAGTTCACCAGGTTTGAGGTCCAGGCAAATGCCCCGAAAGGAGCATGGAGATGTTCTCGAGGAACTGAAGCCTCCTATCTGCTTATGAGGCTGAGCAAAATCCCTGACAATGTGCCAGAAGTTTAAAAACACTGACAGTTTTTCTGTCCATGTACGCCAAATTGTGGTTTATTTGTTTGGCTGGCAACAAACTGATGGGTAAAAGTCTTCCTTCCAGTGTCTTCAACAGCAGCACCCTGGTTGAGTGCAACCACTCCATCAATTAGCTTCAGTGGATCCCAATCGTCAGCAGGAACCCGAAATATCTTTAAGCAATAAAATGAAAGGTACGGACGGACATGTCGTTGGTGCTTAAGGCTTGATAGACGATGACGATAGCATCAGCTGAAGTGTGAGACGAGACTGATGGTACTCACCATGAGTTCATTTGAAGAGCATAGAATTGAAAGATATGAACAAAGAAAAAATATTGGATGATTTACTAACAGTGAAAAGAGATTGTTTCACACAATATCTTTCATGTGGACAACATACAGTAGATTTACATTGAAAATGTATCTACTGACTCAAGATATGTGATGATAAAAATAAAGTTGAAAACTAAACCTTAATTATACTTTTGTCTTTCCATATAAGACAGGGCAGTCTGTGTATTCAGGCTTCAGAATATTAGAATTCATTTGAAACAAGATGAGCAAAAATTGTTCATAAAAAACTCAATTTTAGGGTGGAGTGAAGATTTTCAGGAAAAACAAGATTATCTACAAGGTAAAACATCTTGCTGGGCTATGGTTTGTTTTGTTGCATTCGTTAATGTGGAACATAAACACCATTAGTGGGTAGCTTTTAGGGCTTTCATTTATCATTCTTAACCAGTTGACTGATTGGCACTTAAATGACGACAAGTTACCCGCTCACCCACGTTGTAAAAATGACACGACATTGTTAAATTTTAATCCACAATGTAGTGTTTATTGACACAAGAAATATGCACATTAGAAAAAGTTCACTTTCTGAGTGTTGCTTTGAGAGTGACCTACATTTACGTATCTCTAACACAGGTAAGGCATTCTTTGAATACTTAGTGGTTAACATCCCTTTGTCTTGTAAACATGACGAGGGATTCATATTGGCATCATCACAGATTCTCCCAGGCACATTCCTTCAGGGTTATTGATCCAAGGGCTGGAAACTTCCATTCTGCGGCAACAGGAAATGCCACAGCTGTGTATTCTCTAGTGTCACATGCAAGCTACACCAGTGGGATCCTTTATGACAGTCACAGAAGTCATTTAGAATACCATTGTCTGACTAAACCAGAACGGAGTGGTATCTTGTGTACGTGTGAGAATTTCTCCTTTCATGCGGCACCATGTAAAACAAACAGGTAAACAGGTTCAACTGAAGATGTGATCTTAATACAAAGTGGTATTGTTTGATGCATATTGTTTGGCAAATAGGCAGCACGGCGGGCAATTGGTTAGCATTGTCTGCCTCACAGTGCATGGCAGGAACACGCTAAATTGTCCCGAGTGTGAGTGCGATTGCGAATGGTTGTTCGTCTATGTGCGCCTTGCGATTGGCTGGCAACCAGTTCAGGATGTCCTTACTGCCCGAAATCAGCTGGGATATGCTCCAGCACCCCGGTGACCCTCGTGAGGAGAAGCAAATTAGAAAATGGATGGATGGCTGTTTGGTAAATAAGTCAGTGTGGAATTTCTGATGCAGCTTTTCATCCAATTTGACAGTGTAGCTCATGTTATGGCCAATGAGCGAATGAATCTTCCTGTGTAAAGCAACACTGCCAATAAATTAATAAAGTAATGAATCCAATTGTTTTTTTGTTTTTTTTTAATTGCCTTTCGGGAAGGAAGTTGCATGGCTGCTGTTTAAAAGCGTACAGCCGCCAGGGAGTTGAGTGCATCCCAATGTTGATTCTTTTTGGCTGGCTTTATTTTATGACATTATGTACATCATTAACCAAGACGCAGCTGCTTTGTGTCACAGGCCATAATTTGTTCATGTACATCGGTTGCACGTGATTGATTTGTAGTTAACGGAGGCAATTTTCCCATTTTCTCCTTGGAGAAAAACAACAAACAAAAAGTCCGTTTAAAACATTTTAATCACGTGCAAACCAATGTACATGTTTGTATCAAGTAAATTCAAAGAACATTTTTGGAACTGCAGGTAAATATCCGTTTTAAAATTCAATCTAAATTGAAGGATAAATCTTTTATCATCAAAATGTATTTTAGGACTCAGTGATGTTAAAATATTTACTTTGGGCCTGAGTAGTCATGGAGCTATTTTTATAATTGGAAAAAAAGGAATGAGGGAAAAAAAATTGTACAAACATTGACTTTTTGGAAGAAATTTGATGATAACAGAGCAATGTCATGGGACAGATTGTTCGTTGAGAAACAGCCCGAAGTGTCGTACATTATATTATACTGCATAGTTTTTCTCCAATACAACAGGAATTGTTTGTCCTTGCTCAACACGCCGCGCCCATAAATGGATAAACAATGCGGCATGCTAAACAGCGAGGACAAAATATCTTATAGTGCGATGGGCCGGATCATGTACAGGAAGTACTATTCTGTAGTTGTGTTTTGGACTCCTCGTAAAATGTGAAGTCAAACGAGAATGACGCTGTAAAATGGTTCAAGCGTATCATGAGGTTACTACTAATGTGGTCATTTAAAATATACATTCTGGATTTGCATTTATGATACAGCAATTGTATAGAATCAAACTAATAAATAACTTTTTGAACAACGATACAAACAATTGATTAGGCGATAAACACAGAGTCAATATGTCGTGGAGAAATACATTTAGTGGACTGGAAATGTATTTGTAATAGGATGCATAAACATAATATACACAGAATATTTCTTCTACACAAGGTCCATCGGCATTGTTCCTCGTCAATGAAACTCGTCAGCATGGCCAATGACTGGAATGAAATCCCGGCCTTTGTAGCTCAAATGCAGTTCTCTGTGATGGCTCGATCTGCCCCCGCATTCTCACCACACTGCGCATACAAAGACAAACATGCACATCAGGCATGGATCACACTGAATAATCATCTCGTGCCGTCTGTTGCTTGACGAATGAAGCTTTTCTGGTGTCGCAAAACAACAGATGCCGGAGGCATAATTCGGATTTAATGTGGGATGGCGAAGTGCATAACCAAAACATTCCCATTACCTTCAAGTCGACAAACATTTTGGTCGTTCATCCTCCCTCCACTTTTTGTGTTGCTATTTTATGTTTAATAGGAGCAAAGAGGTGAAACTAAATGACAGTAAATTAAGAAAATTGTCTGGTGCCCATTGTTGTTGTATGCATTTGCCTTCCCTCCAGAAAATCTCCAAATATCCAGAAAATAGTTCAGTTAAAACAGTTGTTGTTGTTGTGTGTGTGTGTGTGTGTGTGTGTGTGTGTGTGTGTGTGTGTGTGTGTGTGTGTGTGTGTGTGTGTGTGTGTGTGTGTTTTTAAACCCAAGTATATGACTGAGTCAAATGATGTTTGTGTTTTGACAACCAAAAGAGTACAGATTGTATTGATTATATTAGTTCTCATCCAAGGACCACATGATAAGCCAGCGGGCTAACAGGACTGTGTGACCTTGTGGACGTGATCACTTGAAAATGTAAATGTGTTACAAACGATATTTATCTGTTTTCTACCTTGTTCATGATCTTCACTGTGAAAAATGATTAACATGATCAGTCTTCTTCCATGGATGAATTTCATTTCTCTTTAATAATAGCATCTACTTAAAGGTAGTTTGAGCAAAATTGCACATGTTAATCAGTGCCAAAGAAGTAGGCCCCCGGTTTCAAGAAGATTGGTGAGCCCCATTGGTGAGCCCCATCTTCTATGTTTACACAGCTAAAACAGCCTGGGGTTTAGACTGACTTGAAAGACTTCCCATGTGTAAAAACAACAATGACCGCAGGACAAGACTGACTGAAATGTACTATACCATCATTTCCACACAGTTACTGTTTTTGTAGTTTGTCCGGTGGTTCCCTTTAAACTAGGTAACATAAACATGCCAAAGGAAAATTATGTCAGTCATTATTTTAGAATCATAAATCATTGACCCCAAACTAGTCCAGTCAAAGGACATAGAAAAAAAAAAATCACCTTAAACTGAAATTTGTCAAGCCTGTTGAAATTGCGATGGTTTGCAGTTTACTGCTACCAAAACAGCCAACTTTGGCACAAACAAAATTGATCTCCAAAAGTTGAAATTTATTGTGAAAACCAAGCTTTGCGCCATTGCATGAAAGTCAGGGCATAACAACAAATTCTTTGGCATCATGAAGCATTCGGTAGTATTTGACTCAAATGGCAACAAAGCAATGAATGGGCTGCTGCTTTTGGATCAGGTTTGGTCAGTGGTAAATTCCTGTTCAATATCAGCAAGGTTCAAAGTGAATCAATCATAAAAGTCAGTCGAAAAATGACTAATACAAAGGACAAATGAATCAGTTATACAGTGAAACTCCTCTACAACGAAACCTACATGGGCGAAAATACCCCCTAGTGAAAAAATTTTCATGCATGAAAGCCATTCCCACTTTTCTGCTCCCCCTACAACGAAAAGTCCCCCTGTTCCGTTATACGAAATCTTTTTCTCTGCTCTTGCCTCGCAACGAGATTCGCTACAACGAAAACAAGCCTTCCGCAAAAGTCTAATCCAACCTCAGCATGCCACAGCGACCTCTACTGCTTCATTCTGAAACGGCAACAGCAACCACCATACTGTTTACACATGCGCAGTAGTACATGAAGTATTTGTTTCAGACGTAGCACGAACATTACATTGCTAAAATGGCGACAAAATGGACTTTTGCATACCAAGGAGTTAAGAAAAGAAAAGCTTTAATGCTTGAAGACAGGATAAAGGTAATGCAAATGAAAGATGGAGGAAGCAAAATAAATGACATTATGCAAGAAATTGATGTAAGTGAAAGTAAATGCTGATCGTAAATTTCACAATTTCTTTCCCTTTTTTCTTTCTACGCTGGCTATATGAAGTGTCAAATAAGTGTATGCTCATACTTATGCACTATTGGAATAAAAATCAAAGTACACATATACGTTTTTTGTGTATGTGTTCGTGTTTACGTCTGAGATAAAATTTTCTACAGTGAAAAGTCCCCTGTTGTGAAAATTTTCTTGCTGCAAACATGATTTCGTTGTAGAGGAGTTTCACTGTAGCAGTGGAAGGAAGATGGAAATGGAGCCACCAAGTAGGAAGCAAAGAAGATCAAAGAGATGATTTATGGAGGTGATGAGGAACACCCCACAATTGAGTGGAGAGGGAAAGATGAAAGATGATTCGTCTACCCTGACAGGTTTAAGCCCAAAGACAAACAGGAAGAAATATGAACATACAGAGGTGTCAGATCCAGGTCCAGAAGTTCAATACCCTCCTGTCACATGACTATGGCTTTCGCCACGCGTCCTTCTCCTCAACCGGAAAGTAAGGGAAATTACAAACCAAACTGTGGCAGTGTTTTTACTGTCTGGACCTGGATTTGACACCTGTGGGAACATGTTCTATGCATGCATGACACACTGGAAGATGTCCCAGCCATCATTCCAACAACTTCATTACAGGAATCAACCAGTTTGCCAAGTTCTCCAAGATTGACCAACTTCAAAAATGCCCCAGAAATTCCTGTGATCTCATCAATTTGACATGAAGTTGTAAAACTGACCCCCCCCCCCCCCAACTACCTTAGCTAAAGCTTTTGCACGGAAATGTAATTTGCAAGTGTACTCACATTATTGTAGCTCCATCTCTGTGCCTCTTTGGTTTCTGCTTGAAATGAAATGACAACAACTTGTATCAGGATTACCAGAAGAAAGGTGTTTTTAAAAATTTTTTTTTAAGGAACTGTGCAATGTGCTCTTACCTAGAAATCATATAAGATCCCAATCTGTGACGGATGTGGGTCCTCTGTTTTTCAAAGAAAGGGACATCATGAGTTTATCGCAACAACCTCCAGTAAAAATACACTGCAGAGGCCCAGCTCTCATAAAATGCATACATACAGTCAGTGGTAAAGTTTACAAAGCCCTGTTCAAATGCCAGGTTTTTGTGATATAAAAAAAAAAAACAGACCAAGATGAGGCATTGAACAACTTTTCTCATCAGTGATGTTACTTGCAAACTGTACAGCTCATTTTGCGAGGGCAAGTAAAATTCAATATATGTGACCGTACACGCGTTCACACCCTTTTATGAGTTGGAATAACGGCACTTACATACGTTGCAGCTGGGAGCAAAAATATTTACTTGTGTAGATTCGTTAGTTAAGCCATAAACATAAAACATAAACAGACAAGCACAATTTGCCCCTAACAAGCTTACTGAGGATGATCAGTGAACAGGCCAAAGTACAGGCTGGTGATGTTCAAACTATTTTGTCTTGTCTTGTAGCCTCTTGGTCAAGTAGAGTATCGCCTGGTGGGTTCCGGTTGTTGTTTGGGACGGTAATGGCCAAAGTAAATCTGCTGTTAGAAGTCTCACAGAGTTTCCACTTTGTGAACTTCATAGTTTTGATACAGACATACGGTGCAGAAGAATATCGATGGGAAAAGAGAGTAAGACTTTGGCTCGATATAGGTTCTAAAATGATCCATATGTCGGGGTTTTCATGCTGTTCTGGGCTTGCTTTCAGCAAAATGTTCATATCAAGACGGCCAGAATGTTTTCAGGGTACTGTTGGTCAGAGCTCACATCTCACTGAGGATTTAGCGTTACTGGCGGTAAGTTAAAGGCAGGAACTTGTTCTTGGGCAGCAACATGCGATGGAATGCATACTATAGCTCAGCCTGGTGAAATCTGACCATGTTTGCGCACAAGACTGGAAGGACTCACTAGATGAACACTCTATGGAAACATCAGTCACACAGGCAAAGATAATAGGATCACGTTAACGCACTTTCACAACATTCCAAATCAGATCCATGTACGAACCCATACGCTGAGATTTTGGCCATAATCATATAAGCATGAAGCATGTTGAGTTCACTTTTTACCTTACCATAGAGAATATAGCTGTGAATCCAAGCTATCATGCAAAACCGTTTCATTTACATCTGTAAAACATCCATCCAACCATTTTCTGGTCTGCTTATCCTCACAAGGGTCGTAGTGCATGCTGGAGCCAATCCCAGCCGTCTTCGGGCAGTAGGCGGGGGACACCCTCAACTGGTGGCCAACCAATTGCAGGGCACACATAGATGAACAACCAGCTGCGCTCACACTCACACCTAGGGATAATTTTGAGTGTTCCATTAACCTGCCACGCATGTTTTTGGAATGTGGGAGGAAACCGGAGTACCCGGAGAAAAGCCACTCAGCAGAGGGAGAACATTCACTGTGAGGTCGACATGCTAACCAATCGACCACTGGGCATTCCACCCTCCATTATTCATGTATTTATTTATTTCCCACTGGGGCTGCATAATCAATTGGCTACTCAGAGTGTGGGGCCTATCGCCAGTTGCCCATTTCTGTGTCATATATTACTAGCCTTTTGAAAGTAATTAGTTATATTCCAATATGACTACAGTACAGGGAAGGCTTGAACTGAAATCCATGTGAGTTCAAGGGGAATATGGTAGAAATATGGTACATTTGACAGAACAATTATATAATGTTTTAGAACAGTGATTCCCAACCTTCACTAAAGCCAAGACACATATTTTAAATCCGAAAAATCTCACAGCACACCACCAAACAAAAATGTCACGAAAAGTGGATACACATGTCTCTTATATTTTTTCTGCTATCTAATAAATCATTTTTTGTTCTGGCTTTCACTATAAGTTGCTGGCATAGATAGATGATTCAATATACATGATTTCTTCAATTTTTTTGACCAATTACCGGTGAGTGAAATTTCCCAAGGCACAATTTAAGAGCTCTCATGGGACCCTAATGTGCCCTGGCACACTGGTCAGGAATCACTGTGTTGAAATATACATGTTTGACATTAAGTTATGTCAAGCAAAAATACAAATAAAGTTGGCACACCACAGAAAAGCGTGCTGTTAACAAACCTGCAACATTTGAATGGTTAAAAAAAAAAAAGTATCTAAAATGAGGCTTCAAAATCATGAAAAATCCATCGATTGTCTTTGCTCTCGAGCGCTGTGGGCATGGCCGCTGAATGCACTTACACGGCGCCCCGCTTAGTTTTTCAACTGTCAACCACTGTTGACCTGAAAACCAGATGCTACTTCATCTTGCAACTTTGTGATGCCTTCACATCCCGGTATTTTGGAGCCAATAGAGCCAGAATCCATTTCTGACCCAGAACACACCAACCTACCTGAGAATCAACCTCTCAGGCTGCAGCAGAATTGTAAATCCCTCAAATTTCATATTTTGCGATTTGTTTTAGTGTACCTTAAGCTAACAATAGCAATTTAATGATGGGCCAACAATAAACACAGTAGACATGTTTTGTCACTTTATCCAGATTGTTTTTTCAAGCTCTAATGTATATTGATTCATCTATCTTGTACAGCACAGTGGGAGATCATAGCCTCATGCTGTCATCCGCATACATCACTGGGAAGCCATGCCGCCCACCCCCACCCCCTCCCTCAAAAAATCTGAAACACAGAAACGGTAAAACTGCTTCACGCTGTGTCTCCACAATTCAGTAGGACATAATTCTCTTAGCACATGTTTTTCTTCAAACACATACAGAACCTTGTTTCAACGTACCACGTTTACAACCTTTCCAACCCTATAGTGTTCACATTTCAAAGTCTAGATTTCCCACAATTAATTTTCTATTTACTTATATATTTTTTTTATATCTTTTTGGACACTGCTTGAGAGAAAGATCAAAAAGCTCAAGTAAAGGGTGAGTGCAAGTCATGTGATTAATAGGCGATCGGATTTTTGTTTTGCTTGCTTCATAGTTAAGGTCAACTATTTTATCAAAATTATGACATTTATTATAAACTTGTGTTCAATAAGTATAAATTATTATTGATTGCCAAAAACAACACCGCAAGACACAGAACACAGATGTAGAAGACTGATTTGTCTCCACGGAATAATAACAGCGAGTGCAAGAGTTTATCTCGCTTGACAAATTGAACAGAACTGCAGCGTACTAGCCAACACCAAGACCATAAAATGTTTTAGAAGACTTTGTGTAGGTTTACCGGCAAGATCATACATTTCACCTCAATGCAGTTGTGTGCGTATTTTGACATTAACAACATTGTGTGTCATTATGTGTTGTTAGGATTCTTGTATAATGTATCTGCTTGTACCTCACATAAATTGACTGCAGCTGCAGCTTGTCTTTGATTTTGCAACATTCCATCCATCCATTATCCAAGCCCCTTATCTTAAATCGTGTCGCCGGTATGCTGGAGCCTTTCCCAGCCGTGTAGACTGGTTCAAAGCCAATCGCAGGGCCTTTTAAACATTCCACAGCTTCTCTTTAATTCATGGCATGCAAATGCATTTAGACTGTGACTAAATTCAAATTATCTCGCTTCACAAAGGGTCAAAGTACATGTCAGCCTCACTCACTTGAGGACCACAGCTCTGCTGTAGTATAGGTCACATCATCTTAAATGAGCCATTACGAAGAACAAGTTTTTCACTTGGAATGCAGTGTATAATTGTTCTGCTGCATTCCTCAATGGGCCTTTGTCAGAGGGCACAACCAAGATGCCAAGGCACACGCGATCACGTTCGGGATTTTAGCGGTACAACTTATTTGGGAATTAACAAAATGGATGCACCGGTACCTTTTGTGTGATTAGACAGAAGAGAGTAAATATGAGCAGTAGTGCTCCGAAGATGGAGGTGATGATGAAGCCGAGCTTGTACAGGTCTCTCAGTGGTCTTCTCTGAGAGGCCTTCACTGACCTCGTAACATAACTGTCTGTAGAAGATTACACACAATCTGTGACCTCTGAGGCTCCAAGTAACATCAGAGAACCCCCTCAAAAGATTGATGATCCCACCTGTGCAGCCTTGTGTGGGGGATGCTTGAGGTTGCGCCGTGCTCGAGCCAAAGAACTTTGAGTATTCATACTGGCAACTCCAGTCCACTGGCGCATCACTCATCGTTACCAGCTCCAAATAAACAGACAGCACCCTCGAAGCTCTCTGCAGTGCTTCTGCAGGGGGCCCTCTGTAAAGCACTTCAAAGCTCTCGGGCTTGTCCTGCAATGGGTTTCGAGAAACATAGGTTCTGTCAGTTTCGACATAGCCGTTTTGTGACGTATGCTTTAAGTGACGTACAACACACCCACCTCAACTTCCTCGTTGATCTGAGGAACACATTTCTGCGAGTAGATGTTGAGGATGAGTGCTCTCAAAGACTGAACATAGCTATAGTTGACTGAACCCCTGGTATATTTGAAGTGGGTGGTGAGGAGCTCCAATATCCAGGGTAAGGCAGCTTTCACGAAGCAACACTTGCTCTGCGTGTGGGGAATCAGAAAGTGTGGTCAGGAAGGTGGACTGTTAAAATGAAGGATGGCCATAATCATTGAAGTGATTGTAAAAAAGTTCTGTCCAGTGGATTAAAATTAGCATTATTATTCCTTCTTGAAGCAATCAAGACCAAATGGAGTGCGCGTTTTATTAAAGTTTTTATGAATTTTTTTTTTTTTTTGCATAATTTAACCGATATTGATTTCAGAGTAAAGTCATTCGTTACTAACTGAATAGAGCAAATTTACCCAGGCTAAGTAGTTAGTATCTCTGCATTATTTCAACTTGTGTTTCTTTGCAGAAATGACATGAGATACACAATGCTGTCGATTCATTTTTGATTTATAGCATTTAAGTTTAAGAGGTTCAGTTGAAGTTGCAGGGATACTTCATATATGTATGCCATTTTCAGCCATAAAAAGTTAATATTTTGTCTATAACTAATTGGACAACCTTCTTTTTCATGTCCATTCAATAACTTTAATAACAATTTGAAAAATAAAAAAGCTGGCCACGATGTTCATTGAACACATCATTAAGCAACTGTCACGTGGGATGTTGGGCTTGAATGCACAATGATATACATACACTCACAGCTACACTAAATGTAATGCATCTGTAGGGTTGCCAACACTGTGACTTAATACTCATATTAAGTCTGGTGAGTGAGATTCCACTTTTGATGTATAAGATGCAGTGACGGATGTTCTTTTCACGACACAAAATACACTTTGGAGAACGTGTGGATCAGAAAGTGCAGCAGACAACGGTGTTCGTTTGCGAGCTACACACGCATAGACAATGCTGGATTTAATACACTTTGTCATCCGACTAGTGCTGAAGTACAGAACACACCAACCAAGACTAGGGAGTATCCAAATCTAGACAAGACCAAGACTTTTGGAGGTCAAGACCAAGACTAGACCTTTATATTGCAAAGAAAAATAAACAGTCACAAAAAAAAAAAAAAACAGAACAAAACAACCAGTGTCTTTTTGTCATTACATTTGGAACCAAAACAAATTCTGCTACGTTGGTTTTGAAAGACTAAAATATAACAAATCTCAAATCGAAGCAATAGGTTTCAGTTTTTTCAAACTGTGCAACCATGCTCTTCAAAACTGAATAGTCCTGACAAGCCATGATATATGTCAGACCTCCGCTCGACTGGTCTTGATTAAAAAAAAAAAAATAATAAAAATATCCTGAGTTCGCCCTGTACGAGACCGAGTAAAAATGCCTTTGATTTCGAGATGTGACTGAACGACAAAACTGCCTCCTACCCTGCACACATAATGAACACGGGACTCCGCTTGCATTATGAACATAACAAGCTGCCGCCTACACCGAGGATGAAGAAGGTTTGAGAAAAACGCACAGACCCTACCCCAGGGGTGTCAAACTCATTTCACATGGGGGGCCACATACGGCCTCGGTAGATGTCAAGTGGGCCGGACGGACCATTAAAATTATACCATACTTTGCTATGAATAACCAAAACAATATGTCTTTCCTTTTTTTTGGTATAAAGAAGCACAAGAACATTAGGAAAATGTTGAAATTTAATGACATATCTTTTACAAAACATTTCATGAAGCACCTTACATTTCCTTCGACAAATGTGCAATTTACTTTTATCATTCACATATATGCATTGCAACTGATCCCACTGATTGTACAAACTTTAACAAGTAATTGGTATTGAAAAATATAGTAATGCACTTTAAAATTAAACGAGATTTATAAAGAAAGGAAGTTTTAAACCATTTACACATGCATATAAAATCTAAATGTAATCCCTGCCTACACCTTACAAACTAAGGAGAGTGCTATTAAATGTGTAAATGTGAGAGTGCTATTGATAGCGTCTGCTGTCATCGGTCTGTCTCAGTGACGGACTGAGGCTGCTGTTGTCTTCTTCTCTGATCCAAACAGTGTCCCCTTGCGGATACTCTATGAATTGCACCTTATTAAAAATATTAATTCTGTGTCTTTAATGCATTTTTTCACTTTTAAATTGTCCTGCGGGCCTGATTGAACCTCCTTGCGGGCCGGTTCCGGCCCGCGGGCCGTATGTTTGACACCACTGCTTTACATAATCATCTCGCAGGCCGGATTAAACTGCTTTGCGGGCCGGCAATTAAGATCATCTCCCACCTCTTTCTCCTTAAAAATACTCGGCACGGCGTTGGTTTTTAATGTTTCCTGCATCGTGTGTCCCATCTGTAGCTATAAAATATTCTTTGTCCTGGAAATGTTCACTGCACATGTGCGTGCCTGCCTGTTTTTGTGCTCACCGGGGGCTTGACAAAACTTACATCGGTACACTTCTTGTTAAAATTGTGGAAGAACATGCCACTGTCCACCTTTGCCATTTCTGGTGGACCCTTTGCATATATATGCGCTGCATTATGGCATTGTTTTTCTTTGTGTCCTACTCGTTCTCCAATGAGTGTCTAATGTCCAGCAGTGAATTTGCACACATTGTTGTTACGGTTTTTATATGATCCGAAACGAATAACAAACAGGACTAGAGTTAGCCGAAACCTTGTCGTAATTTATTATGTCCTTTAAAAAGTCAACTCAGGGAAGCCAGAAATAAACACAGTAAGTCGAATGTCCAGAAACTAAAATAATCCATTAACCTTGGAAAAAGCTAACTGTTCCTTTTAGACGCTGAACTTCAGACAGAAGAAATCCACTGCGGGAAAAATCCAAACTGAAACTCACTTATAGTCCAAGGGGGAACATAAAGAAACCATAGGGAGAGGGAAGAATCCACCCAAGCCGAGAACACTCCACGAGAGGCAAACCAGAGCTCACTGCAGGTGGTTACGGCACAAACGTGAACTGAGGACTGGCTCGGGAGCCAACTTATCCCAGCCCTAACAAGCTGCAGGTGAGTGATTAGCAGACGAGCCTCATTTGTGAGATGCAGAGCACCCTGACTGAGAAAGCTGCCTGGCTGGGAGCCACCTGGCGACTTGCCAGGTTTGTCAGGATGGGAGCGATGAAACTCAACGATCAGTCTCGGGTTCATCATGATCCGGCGGAAGACCCAGCTCCGATCCTCCATACGGTAGCCCTCCCAGTCAACCAAAGAGTGGAACCCTCGTCCCCGGCGCCGCATGTTCATCAGTCGATGGACCTTCCACTGGGGGTGCCCGTCCACAATCTTAACCGGAGGCTGAGGTGGGGATAGATGATCAGGGGGCTGTAGGAGACTGGCTTAACCCAGGACACATGAAAAATTGAATGGATCTTCATGGGGCCAGGGAGCTTCAGGTGCACCCCTGCAGGACTGAGCATCTTCTGGATTTCAAAGAGTCCAAGAAACCAGGGATTCCGTTTCTTGGCACTGGACAGAAGCAGAAGATCCTTGGAGGACAACCACACTTTCTGCCCAGGTTGGTAAACAAGCAAATTATTCCTTTCAGGCTCCAAACTTCAAACAAAAGAAATCTACTCCAGGAAAAATCCAAATTGAATCTCACCTAAAGTCCAGTGGGGAACACAAAGAATCCACAGGCTGAGAACAGACCATGAGAGGCAAACCAGAGCTCACTGCAGGTGGTTACGGCACAAACATACACAGAGGATGGCTAGGGAGCCAACTTATCCCAGCCCTACCAAGCTAATGAGCTGCAGGTGAGCCTCAGGTGTGAGATGCAGACCACCCTGGCTGAGAAGGCCGCCTGGCTGGCCCATCCCTAACAGTTATGCCTCGTTGAACCCAACATGGACGTAACCGTGTGTTGAAAATGTTGCCGGAAGTAAAATGAATGAAGCCTTCCGTTGAGCAAAACTGCCTTTCGTTTCTTCATCAGAATTTGGTGCTTCATTGTGAATAATACACTATCTCATCTCACATTAATAGCTCCAAAAAAAATATGAATTGACCAATCATGTAATGTGATGTTGAGTTGGTTAAGTGCCCATATGTCTTCAAATCTGTTAATGAATACTTCAAACCATTAAGAAACCGCCACATAAAATTAAAAGGTACCTTACCAAAGATTTTTGCTCTATGAATGTGTAGGTTATCGAACACCCGCTTCTCAATTGGTTATCCATCTGTACAAAGAAAGTAGAGAAAGAAGCATGTTTTTTTTTCCAATTTAAAGTATTCGAGCTGCGGCTTGAAAAAAAAAAAGCACAGCCCAACTCCTCACAATACAATAATAGTTTGTAGAAAAAGTACCATAACCCTTGTATGATTAATTCGATTTTTAAATCACTATAAGCAACAATATTATCAATAATAACAAATGACCATATTTCAAAAGGAGTTGTTTAATATTGACCTAAGCAGTTGACAGTTGACCCCGAAAATTTATTAACTGCAACCAGCTTGGATGTGTTAATGGTCTTAAAAGCAGTCTATTAAAACCAGATCCCTCAAGTCCCGCACACTGACGCTGAGTCACATGAATTTCTGGGTTGGCGGGGATCTATTTACTTGTCAACAACAAACTAAGAGAAAAAGCTTCTTTAGATTATTTCCGTTTCTTCATTTTGCTATATTATTTATCTTCTTTCTAGTGATTTAATTATTTGATTTTTTCCCCTTTTTTTAAAATTTCTGAAATTACTACTGTAAACCAGTGTAGCTGTCACCTGATTCACTCTCTGTGTAAAACACTGTTCTTAATACAACGATCAGAGTGTTGCTGCTGCACTTTAAAGCGCACAGAAATTGTTTCAGATTCAGAGGTTTGTGGCATTTGTGGGTTTGGCTGCGTGTGCCACGACCACAAGATATGCTTCTACCTACCAATGAATCAGGTCGAATGAACCATTTATCATTTATGCAAGGTGAGTGTAGGTATCCTTAAATGGCCTTAGTGTGATCATTATTGCACTTTCACAGCAAAACTACAGTGGACAGCTTATCATCTTATCAGGTTACGTTGTGCATGAAAGGGTTAATAACATATATATCTCTATCTATCTATCTATCTATCTATCTATCTATCTATCTATCTATCTATCTATCTATCCATCTGTCTATATATAGATATATCTATATCTATATATCTATATAGATATATAGATATAGATATATCTATATATAGACAGATGGATAGATAGATAGATAGATAGCACACACACACACGCGCGTAATGTACTGACATCTAATCTTAAAAGTTTTACACAAGGACCCCCTGTGCTTTGGGCCTTGGTGCCTTATTGCAAATGTTCCCTTGACTTTGAAACCTCTGAAAACACCTACCAGATGTTTGAGTGTAAGCAGGTGGTCCCTAGTAATGGAGTGTCTGCATGGTCCAGGGACCTCAGCCATGGACAGCGGGAAGCTCAGGAACATAAGCACACACAAACACTTTACCTGCAACTGACAAAAGCCCATTTTAAAGTCACCATCTGCCAGCACATTTTCAAACATTGCAAACTGCTATGCACTTGCATGAGAATGTATGAAAGCACTTCAATGGGAAATATGACAAAAATTAAAATAGCCACATGAAATAGGAAATGTGACATTTGACATTTTATGTGTGATTTTGTGGTTCCCTTGATTCAAGAAGTCCAGCTTGCAGGAACATTTAGAGCAGCTGAAACTATGTTCAACGCTTCATCACTCTTAATGAAAAAAAAATCACTCAAATAGTGACAATTTTTTTTAAGATAATTTGTGCGGAATTCGAAAGGTATCCGGAATGCCAACAAAAACAAGCCTGCCAGCAATGAGCAGCATGCAGATGTAATTATAATTAGACAATGCAAGTAGATGGAAGGTGTGCAAAAAATATTAGTCTCACTCAAAGTCTGAAAGGCAAAAGAGAAAAGGCACCTGTGAATTATTTGCTGTGAGATAGTGATGGCCTGATATTATTGCTCAGGGCTATCAGGCAAGTGGTCACAAACTGGAGAGAACACATCGGCGATGTGATACACCGTGAAGCCCGTGAGTAGAACATTAAAGAGAAAAACTAGTTTTAAGATAATTCATGAAAACATTCAAAGACTGTGAGCTATCAATCCATCCATCGATCCATTATCTACCGCTTATCTGCGGTCGGGTCACGCAGGCAGCAGCTTCAGCAGGGAAGGCCAGATTACCCTCTCCCAGCCACTTCTCCCAACTCTTCTGGAGAGATGCCAAGGCATTCCCAGGCCAACCAGGAGACATAGTCTCTCCAGTGTGCCCTTGGTCGTCCCCGGGCCCTGCCATGTACTGAACACCTCACCATGGGGGCGTCCAGGAGGCACATATGGCTGAGCCACCTCAGCTGAATCCTCTCAAGGTTGAGGAGCCACAGCTTGAGTTTGAGTCCCTCTGAAATGACCGAACTTCTCGCCCTGTCTCTGAAGGACAGCTCGGACACACTGTAAACGAAACTAATTTCATCTGCTTGTATCCGGGATTGTGTTGTTTCTGTCAAGACCCACAGCTCGTGACCATGCTACAAGCGAGTGGAAATATTCTTCCAAGAATCAGACTGCCAGCAAAGTCACATGTAAAAATAGGAAATCCAACACCGTATGAAATACAATGATGCACAAGTCAAATAAAAACAGTGTGACTTCTTCACTTCTTTGTCAAAAGCATTTCGATTTCTCTGTGTAAGTTATCGCTTTTATTGTATATAATTTGTTTGCTTCTGCCAGAAGTTGTTGACTGGGGAGACTTTGATTTATTAATGAACATGTATGTGCTCCGTTTTGATGTATGCGTTGAGTTATGATTGACTGAATACACAGAGCGATTCTATTTGTATTTTGGCAAAAGTTTGCTGCTGTGTTGGATGGAGTTCATTTTAATTTTAGCAGAATTACTGCTGTCAACACTTTGCTCATGAGCAAATCAATCAGTGGTTTACAAATACCTGGATTCAAATCTGACAATAAACTCCAGATAAAACATGCCGACACAAAAGATTTTAACCCGGTTGACAAATCTGACATTCCCATGAAGTGTACGCCACGTCACAGGTCACATCTAAGACATTTTTGAAACCTTATCACCTGCTGCTGATGTGTTGAAGCTCCTAGAATTAGACTTCCAACTACAAGAGTTATGCCGTCACCGCACAACACGAATGTATCCCGATTTTGAGCCAGCAGATGTGTCGCAGACAAACGTAGTGTCCCGTAGCCGATTTTGAGTTGTCTTGACCTGTCATGGGCCGTGTAGTGAGACATACTCAACAATTGGTCGTGAGGCATCTGGGATGCTTCACAGCTGCGATGACGAAATTCTGGCTTGTCAGAATTTTAGTTTGTCTTGCCACATTAATGTGACAGGACCTAAGTCATCCTTCGATTGGATTTTTGGCACTGGCCAAAAGGAAGATAGTGCGCTCCGACTAATGACGAGAGACTGACGTGGCACACACAATGTGGTGTACTGTACAATCTTTAAAAAGTGACCCAAACAAAAGTGGAAATACTGGAAAGTATACTAACTGCAAAGCTGCTCGCTGATTAGCAACCGTGGTGTCATTCAACAAATTCATTACATCAATTTCTTTTTAGAGAACAGACAGTCCTGACTGCTCGCTCCCCACCATCTTAGGTGTGGGTCCATTTTTTATTTATTTATTGGGCGGGGGGGCCTTTTTCTGAACAAAGAAAGAATGCAATGTTGCAATACAGTTTCCATTGAATCGCTGTATTATATTTTGAAAATCATCCCACTGCCTGCATGGGTTTACTCCGGGGACTCCGGTTTCCTCCCACATTCCAAAAACATGCATGGCAGGCTGATTGAACAGTCCAAATTGTCCCTAGGTGTGAGTGTGAGCGCGGATGGTTGTTCGTCTAAGTGTGCCCTGCGATTGGCTGGCAACCGGTTCAGGGTGTCCCCCGCCTCCTGCTCAAAGACTGCTGGGATAGGCTCCAGCACGTCCCGCGACCCTTGTTGGCTGAAACTGTGGAAGGCACTGATGGTCTAGTTCACAGGTGTCGAAGTCCGGTCCTCGAGGGCCGGTGTCCTGCATGTTTTCCATCCCTCCCTGCTGCAACACACCTGATCCAAATGATCAGTTCATCAGCAAGCTCTATCGGAGCCTGATAGTGATCTTGATCATTTGAATCAGGTGTGTTGCAGCAGGGAGGGATGGAAAACATGCAGGACACCGGCCCTCGAGGACCGGACTTCGACACCTGTGGTCTAGTTTAACGGGTCATGGTTTAAGTGAGCAAGCGGAAATCAATGGGAAAGAATTGTTCCTCCAAAATTTCAATTGTTGAATGGCCAGGGCAAAAAATAATTTACTTATCTTAGGAACCAGCCAATTGTTGCTTTCAGGGGATATGCTTGCATCAGATATACCTTTTATGGTTGATAATCTCAAGGCCACTGAGTTGTGCGCATGTTGTTTGTTAGTTTTTTTACATATTAGCCTCAAAATCGGTATGGTTTGTTTGCTCATCTGGACATGATTTGGTGGGGGTGTCACTGCCTACCTTCTCCCTCTCCTTTCACTGTTTGATTTATTGCTACTCCTGTTATCCTAAGGAGCTCTCATAGAGAAACAATTATGTGTGTGAATTACTGTAAAAAATGCCCTGTAGGTTGCATCTTTTACGACTTGGGAAGTTGAATCTGTTTGTGTCTACGATCTGGCAGCCCGGATGAGGAGAGAGCATTGCTGTGACAGTGGTTTCCGAGCACTAACCCGTGATGAGGATCACAGAAGAATTCGTCTGAGAGATCTCGTTTGCAAAGGTGAGCTTTTCAATGTTGTACCTGTGCTTCTTTTGTGGACACAAAGCACAGCGCAACACAGACTTTGTGCTCATGTGGTTGCATTGTAACAAACCACCGGCAAAGATTCACCCCATGCCAAGTGTCACTTGAACATCAAGTATGTTTTTCTGTGTGTTAGAATCAATGAACCTCCAAAATAATTAGAAGGATCACCACAATAGTTTGGATTTTTGGGACAGGAAGCATTTTTGTTAGAAAGCTGTAGTGTGCACGTTATGATCATAAAATTCTAAATATTGGGGCCGTTTATTCTAATAATTTGCAGTGGGTGGTGGAAGTTGACATAAGTAGAGATGTTCACATCAACTTTGAAGATTGATCGCAGTTTTATGACATCAAGCGGCATGAAAAGAGTGCACATTAAGTGTGCTGAGTAGGCTTGGCTGGATCCTATGTCTGCTTCTAGCTGAATAAGACTGTGTCCAACCTCTCAAAACGCAACCAACCTTATTACTGTGTAGGCCCCGATACTCCTCAGAGCTTTTCAGATTGCTCATTGCCTCACGTCTGAAGCGAAATAGTTCTAAAAGTAGTTAAACATGTGACTACGTTGTCACCGACATCTTTTTTTTGTTGTTGTCATCCTTCGAACCTAACTACATTACCGGAAAGCGGGATTGAAATGGTGTCTCTTCTAAGCCGCAACAACTGGCGTTCTCACATTGTTTGAGTTAGTATGTGTGATATAGAATGTATTTTTTATTATTTGTATTTGTTTGTTTCTGACAGTCTGTTTGAACAATTCTTTACGTGAAACCAGTCTGTTGCTCAAAAAAAAAAAAAAAAGTTTGGGACTACTGTACTCTGCTGACAAAAAATTTGCACTTCACCAACTCGGGCTTGACCTTCATCCCTTAAAGACAAGATCAATGTGTGTCGGAAAAAAAAAAAAGTTTGGGACTACTGTACTCTGCTGACAAAAAATTTGCACTTCACCAACTCGGGCTTGACCTTCATCCCTTAAAGACAAGATCAATGTGTGTCGGAAAAAAAAAAAAGTTTGGGACTACTGTACTCTGCTGACAAAAAATTTGCACTTCACCAACTCGGGCTTGACCTTCATCCCTTAAAGACAAGATCAATGTGTGTCGGAAAAAAAAAAAAGTTTGGGACTACTGTACTCTGCTGACAAAAAATTTGCACTTCACCAACTCGGGCTTGACCTTCATCCCTTAAAGACAAGATCAATGTGTGTCGGAAAAAAAAAAAAGTTTGGGACTACTGTACTCTGCTGACAAAAAATTTGCACTTCACCAACTCGGGCTTGACCTTCATCCCTTAAAGACAAGATCAATGTGTGTCGGAAAAAAAAAAAAGTTTGGGACTACTGTACTCTGCTGACAAAAAATTTGCACTTCACCAACTCGGGCTTGACCTTCATCCCTTAAAGACAAGATCAATGTGTGTCGGAAAAAAAAAAAAGTTTGGGACTACTGTACTCTGCTGACAAAAAATTTGCACTTCACCAACTCGGGCTTGACCTTCATCCCTTAAAGACAAGATCAATGTGTGTCGGAAAAAAAAAAAAGTTTGGGACTACTGTACTCTGCTGACAAAAAATTTGCACTTCACCAACTCGGGCTTGACCTTCATCCCTTAAAGACAAGATCAATGTGTGT